CCTTCTTCATTTTTTCCTCTTTCTTCATGGGTGCTTTCCTCATCCGTTTCACGCCAATGGTATAGTACCTCTTCCTCCTCTTCTTAAATTAAAATGGGCTGGCCCCACCGCGACTTTCCACCCGTACACAAAATCTTTGTAGTACGGGTAGTTTTCCGCAGTGACTAACTGAGGAAAATCGTTCTCTGTGAGAATGTAGAGAGCGGTTTCCCTCAGTAACTTAGCCCTTAGTTCTTCAAAGGCGGTGCAGTCCACTATGATGTGCTCAGCAGTCTCCGGAACACCGCAGCTAGGGCATAGGGGGTTGATGTCCATCCCATGGCAATGAAGCTTTGCTCGAAAGCCCCCATGGCCTGTGAGAAATTGCGAGATCCAATAGTCTGGGACGATCCACCTTGCTTCTAAACGTGACCGGACGGTGGGGAAGTACTTCCTCAAGGTAGATCCTTTGGGGGTTATCACCCACCGCCGGTTCCATTCCTCCAATGTGTCGTCCCGTATAATGTTTTTCCATTTGCAAGGATTCTCGTCAATTCTCACCTTAAGATGTTCCGGTAGACCTGCTGAGCCGTTTTTCTTAAACATGTGCCTCATCATATCTTCTCGCAGGAGAAGGTCGAGAGGTACCCCTCCTGCTAATACCTGCACCGCCTCATGGGATACGCTTCGATACGACCTGGTGACCCGCAGCAATGCCGTTCGCTGTATTGTCGCCAACTTACTCTTCTGTCGGTGCGAGAGGTTCTGGTTCCAGGCGGGAGACGCATACCTCATGATACCCAGAATCACCCCCTTATAAATTGTTAAGGTTGCTGGGTATCTGAGGCCCCAGAAAGCGCCCCCAACCCGACTGAGACCGTTCAAAGATAGGGCCACCCTGTTTTTAAGATAGTCCAAGTGAGGGGTAACGCTGAATTTTTTCCCAAATTTTACGCCTAGATAAGTGACCACCTCACTTGGACGTATTCTCGAACCTTGAACCGTTATGTTAATAGGGTGTGCCCTGTCAGTTTTCCCTTTCATGACAATTGTATGAGTCTTTGAAGCGGCCATTGATAACTTTTTCCTCTCGCACCATTCTCCGACCAAGTTGGCGCATCGTTCCGCTTCTTGTCTTAAGCCGGCTATGCTATTGGAGGCCACCACTACTGCCAAATCGTCAACGTATCCAGTGGCAGGGAACCGCTGTTCTTCTAACACTCCCAATAACTCATCAAAAACGAGCTTCCATAAAGCTGGACCAAGTACCGATCCTTGAGGACATCCCCTCTCTATGAAAGCTTCAGTCTCATAAGAACTGCCACGAACCTTAACACGTCTATCCTGTAAGTAGCTTCTTATCAAGGCATATAAGTTACTGGGAGCATCATATTTCTGCAGCTGCTGGAGCACAAGAGGCCACCAGACGCTGTCGAAGGCGGAGGATATGTCGAATAGCATCAACATGACATACCGCTCCGTCCTCAGTTCAACGTCTTCACGTACTCTCAGCAGGGCATCAGCGGTTCCCTTCCCCTTAGTGGAGCCGTATTGCCGTGGATGACTTGCTCTGGCAAGAACTGGTGCTAGACTGGTCATGATAAGGTTCTCCAGGACCTTGCTCATCACAGGGAGGAGGCATATTGGTCTATAGGACTTGGGGAGCTGTTTATCCCTATTCCCTCCCTTGTAGAGGAGTCTCAAATCGGCGATCTTCCAGATTTTGGGAAAGTATCCCCTCTCCAGACAATCATTATATATTCCTAAAAGTCTCTCATCAATGTAGGGAATACTACTCTTTAGGATCGCCGCATCTATAGCATCGAGTCCTGGAGCACGACCGATTTTCTGCTTATCCACAGCAATACGGAGATCATATATGTCCCATCGTGGGCACAAGTCCGTATCAGGTGGGTATGCCGTGGTGCGTCTCACGAAGTTTTCCTCATCGTTGTCTTGAGACGGATCATCCCTGGGGTACGTCCTCGCAATGAAGATTTCGGCTGCCTCCTCGAAGTTGGTTGCCTGGACGTCTCCGTGCTTGAGGGCTGCCAATGTTTGCTGCGTACTAAACTTCCCCATGGCTACCCTATAAGGAATACCCCAGGGATTCTTCGTGGACTCTTCAACAATGAACTCATCCCAGGACTTTTTCTTCTGTGAACGCACCTCGTTTCGGTACACCCGGGCCTTGGACTTGTACTGATCACGGAGTGTAGAGCGCCTCTCGTCGCAACTACACCTCTGATACAACCGCCGTGCCTTGTAGAGCTCTCTCTTAAGGTTTGTTAAGGCCGGCGTCCACCATGGAACAGGTCGAGCTTTCGCCTTCCGGTGCTGAAGGGATTCCTCAGCGGCATCACAGACAATATTAGTGATCCTAGACACCCTGTAATCCAGGTCATTAGTCTGTTCTATTTCCGCTTCATCCCATTCATCATCTACCAATTTTCCCTCCAGCGTCGACCGGAAGGCATTCCAATCTGCCCTTCGGGTTAGATAACCCTTGGCAGTACCGTGGGAACTTTCTGAATTTTCCACCAGCCTGAAGGATATCGCTTGGTGGTCGGAACTCGTCTCAGATCGGAGGGTCCAATCAACGATGCGATTGGCTATTAATGGCGTTGCAAGTGTAACGTCAATCCAACTCTGCCCCCTAGCGCTAGAGAACGTAGGGGTAGCAGAGGGATTGTTTAATACTACTAACTGGTTCCGCGAAATAAATTCGCCCAGCTTTGCGCCTCTTCTATTCGTTTGATTGGATCCCCAGACCGTGTTCCAGGAGTTGGTATCTGAGCATATGATCACATTTCTGGTGGTAGCCGTGATCATCTCCATGGCGGATATGTCTTCGTCAATATCGTTGCTATCAGGTAGGTAGGCTGATACTAACGTAAAAGCTACATTACCCCACTTGAAATAGCAAGCGACGGAATCCGCCATAGTATGCTGCCTCAGATCCATCACATCGAGGTTCGGGTTATTAACCACTATAGCAGCCCTGGGCCTCCTCTCTCCACTGCTCAAGGCGATAACCCTCGATGTAAGGCCAAACCCCGTGACTATGTTCCCACGGCAGCTCGGTTCTTGGACCGCCATTATGTCGTATCGTTGGGAGAGAACACGAAGTTCATCTGCCACAATGTGTCGGCGGCCCATGTTGAGCTGGAGGATGGTAAGCTTACTCATAGAAGGTTCTTTTAGCTACCTCTTTGGCCCACTGTAGATGCACAGGGCATTCCCTGCTACCCGCCTTGTGTTTCCTTTGAACAACGGGAGCATTTGCCCTCGCACAATTTATGCAGGTTGGGCTAGCCTGTTCTCTTTTCTTTGAACACTCTTTAATTACATGGCCACTAGCTGAACACCAAATGCAGACTACTGCATCTACTGTGCACGTGGCCTTGGTGTGACCGTAGCCCTGACATCTACTGCATCGAGGAGCATCGACGTAATCTTTAAAGGTTATGGTCCACCATCCTCCGTCTAGGCTTCCTATTTCGAGAAGCAAGAACCGGACTGTTGGATGCACCTCTAGTACCCAATTTTTAGTAAACCCGTTTCTGGCCACTGAAGAGAATAGTGGCCGCAGGTCATCCATGATCAGCGGAGTGGGGCCCGACTTCTCGGGTAATCGTTCCCATAAAAATCTTGCCAACTCAGCTGAATTCCATGTGTGAGGAACACCCCTTATTTCCAGCCTGGGTTTTTTCTTCAGAGCTAACTTGGCTTGCAGGCCATGGTCCCGCAATCCCTGCCATCCAATCACTTTCGTGGCATCATTGATGTCGTCCATACGAACCAAGACAGAACCTGCCTTGGTCGCACGGACTATTGCAGCATTTACACCTATTTCTTTTGGTGACGGTAGCCCATTTATAATATCAGCAGGACTCTTTCCAGTCCCACTTATGGTGATGTAAGTTGGTCTCAGAGTCTGAGTTGCTCGTAGATTACTAACGTTATACAAAAAAAAAAAAAAACTCTCATTAACTACCATCATCAGGCCCATTTGGACATATGGAATTAAGCTTTACTGCTCCACCAATCGAATTCTTCCCTTTTCGATCCTCCGTAGTACCCTTAAAGCTGTTTATTACTTCACAAATAAAATTATCCATAAAGACCTCAATATTTCATTTGTTGCAGAATTGCTCCGAATTAGATGTTTCTCTTTTAATCCCAAATTCGTTACTACATTCATACCTGAAACCTTTCGAGGCATCTGAAAACAAAATGGCCAAGGAAGTTCTTAAATTAATCTAATCATTGAAAAGTTACCAATCGGCAACTTCTTCACAAGCTCCTATCACGTTTTATATTTCTTTACAGAATAACTTGTTATATTTATTTATTCAGCTGTAAATTTTAATAAATGAATTTTAAAAAATGCTATAATAAACCTGTATAAAGAATGATTATGGTTAGTACCGACGATTATCTCCTTTAATCTACATTTTTGGTTAATGCTCACATCTAAGAAACTATATATGTATATTTACAAGTATGTTATATCGCGCTTGCTAGTCAAACTCTGAGTCAACTAGGCACAGGCGGATTTACGGGGAAGGCTTTCGGGCTGAAGCCTCCCTCCCCCCTCCCAAAATGGTAAAATGTTACCATGTTTTATGGTAAAAATTATTAAAAAATTATATCTTGAAGTATTATTGCTCGTTTAATTACATTTAATAGGACTTCCAGAATCACTTAAACACCATTTCATATAGGTAGGTAGTATCTTTCTGTTTTTACAAAGTAATTATCGTTATATATATGAAAAAAAAAGATTTCCGGGCTGAAGCCCCCCCAAAATTAAATCCTGGGTCCGCTAGTGAACTAGGCACCCATAGAAAGTCATTTGTGTAGTTTCAACCACTATGAGAAGACTTTAGATGGTAGGTGGGCTTGCTTCGTTGTTTGATAGAGGTAGAAGGTTCGAGTCTCAGTACTCCTGTTGCCTTCATCCCAGATGATTTTGGATCTTGAAGTGTATGTGTATGTAGTTGAGTGACTGAGCAAGTATGGATTTATTAGAAAGGCAGCTCATTCCAGTGAGTGATCTATTTTGATCCAAATCTCTGAAATATTCCACAAATCAGAGATTATTGACAGCTTAAAGTATCCAATACATTTTTATATCTAAAATTAACTTTCCGAACATTTATCCCCGCTTCTGTGTGGAATCAATTGATTATTTAATAGTGTCACGAGCTTTTGTTAAACCTATTCTTCCACAAAATTTGATGTTAAGGCATTTCGCAAATCGTTGCTAGAAATTGCCAGTCATTAAGTTACGTATAAGCGTTCTAAGAAAAGAAACGCACACTGCCTTAAGATTGAGTTAGGGTTAAAAGAATAAATGCAGTTTTTCAAGAAAATACTATTCATTGATAATGTTAAAAGCCACTATTCAGAGGAAGCGAAGTTGATCCACCGTTATATTTTAATGTCTAACATAGTTGCTAAACTTTTTTTTCCAACTATCTGATTTTAGGATGTGGTATGTGCTTTGAATTCAGTCTTATGACACATCGTTTTTGCCTGTATATCCGATATCCAAAGCTTACTTCTTAGTTAACAACTGTGCTGCGGTTTCTTCCATTGAAACAGTTATGCCAACCTCCACGACCGAGACATTTCACGATCTGCTCAAACGGCAGGAAACAGCGGCCGCAGATATGTTATGTTCCGGTACCCTGTTGACTAAATAATTCATGACCCGCGCCATATTCCATCCTCGCTCGGTCTACCGCCAACTTCCGAGTATTCACGTCTCTTTCTTCACTTCAAGTTTTAATTAATGTCAATGGATTGTTGTATATTATTTAAATCCATAATAACATGTCTACGCTTATTAGATATAAAAAATTATTTTTAAGTTATAAATCCAATCCTTGTAGAAGGATAAATACCAAAGTAACTTATTTTAATGTTTTTATTTATTTATAACTAAATGCCGGCTCTTCAACCACTTACAGATCATTTTAATCCTTACAAATTATTAATATTACCAATATAAAAATAAAAATTAATTTTGAAGTTACAAAACATTAAAATTTACAAAAAAGGAATATACAAACATTAAAAGTACAAATAAAAAAAAATTAATTTTATAATATAGTTAGGTTTTTCAAGAAATGAAAACAATTTTTCTTCCATCTTCATGCTGGTTTTTAAAATATTACTCATATCATTTTCTAACTCGACTTCATTATGATCAGCTTCATAACAATAATATTCTGTTAAAATAGGCGACAACCTTAAATGCACTCTGCTGAAAGTATATGGAGGAGGTATCCCCTTTGTCCTCAGGTACTCATGCATTATTCTTGAGTGTCCTACTCTTAATCATCCTATTTTAATATTCATGAAATATTAATATTTTTTATAATGTAGTTACAAGATCATTTTATTAAATGGGCCCCTTATTTTGATATTGGTCAGGAATAATATATCAATTGTCAGAAACTTAACATATACTTATATATTTTTACCTTTCAGGTGACAGAATGACTAACTCCAACTTCAACGTTTTTTTATTATTAATTTTAGCTATATGTATGGTGTTATTCACAGTTCTATATTTCAACACTGCAATCACCTTCTCTTGAATCGACTTACTCACTGTCTGTGCAGATATCACAGGGTTGTAATGCCGTTTTATATTGTATTTGGCACCTCTTTTGTTTATTATATTTTACTTTATTTTTGCTTCATAAATAATTTAGTTTTCTTATGTTTTTTTTTTCTTGTTTTTACAGAGGGTTCGATTGTTTGAGAAGTGTTTGGAAGAGGCGAGTGGACGTCTAGCAGCCTCAGAAACAGCCTGTGCTGCATGGCAACCTACTACAGATCCTGGCCAAGCTGCTAACCAACTCGACAGTCTTCAGGTTAGCAAAGTTTTAATCTCTAAAACAAAACAATAAGATTATTAATTAGTAGATTATTAAATATAGTTAAAATTAAGAGAACAAATCAGATTGTAAAAAATATAATATTTTTTTCCTCTAATGAATTGGCATTCCTAAACTAAGAATTGATAATCAAATTGTAATAAAAATGGGTTGATAGTATAAATCACCATCAAAAATAACACTTCATTATATCTTGGTGCAGGTCAAGTGCTTAATTATGTGTTAGAACATCAACATTAACTTTCTTGAAAATATAATTGGTAATTGGTTGACTGTCGTGGATAATGAAGAGAAGAATAGTTGGGGTGGTCAGTCAAAAAGGAAGGCAAAAATAAATGTTAATATTTATTTTTTACATATGCCGACCGACTTTTTACATATTATTTAAGATTAAATAATAAAAACCGTTACAAAGTGTGGAATGATGAAGTAGGCATAATCAAAAAGGGTGACAAAAGTGTTACAATGCGAATCTTAGAATAAAATGTAAAACATAAAAAAGAAATATGAAGTTATATAAGAAATGAAAATAAATAGTAAAATTCTCAATGTTTTAATTTTACTATTTATTTTCATTACTTATATAACTTCATATTTCTTTTTTATGTTTTACATTTTGATCTAAGATTTCCATTGTAACACTTATGTCACCCTTTTTGATTATGCCTACTTCATCATTCCACACTTTGTAACGGTTATTATTATTTATCTCTTAGTTCTTAGTCATTATTCTAACAATTTCATTTTGCTTTATATTTATTTATTTTATATTTTTTATTTTATTTTTTTTTTTTTTTTATTTTTTTTTACCATCACTACTTATTTTTCTCATACCTTGTTATCTGGTTATTTTCTTAGCCCTGATGAAGGCCTGAACTTCAGGTCGAAACGTCGGCATATGCAAAAAATAAATATTAACATTTATTTTTGCCTTCCTTTTTGACTGACCACCCCAACTATTCTTCTCTTCATTTCTTGAAAATAAATTAATAATTTTTAATTTTTTTGTTAATTATTTTTTAAATATAAAATTATAAGTGATAATAATGAAACACAGGAAGATTTATAAAAATAATTGGTACCTCCATCAAGACAATATTACAATTACATTTGCTAGATTATATTATAGAAATTAATAACTGTTGACTAAGCAATGTAGTGCCAAAAAGCTCATGTAAATTGAGGACCCAGCAAACTGCTTACTTTTTTTATAAATGTAATTTCCTCTTAATTCTTACTAATAGCTGTTGATACCTAACAACAATAATAGTTGTTGATACCTAAACAATGGACTGTAAATTTATTTTCAGAAATTCGGCGAAAGGCTGGGACCCTTACAAAGGTCAATAGAAGACCTCAATGACCATGTTGCATCGTTCAGAAGTGGGAGCGTTAACATCTCTCCTGCTCTCCTTTCGAGGGTTGATGATCTCAATGCTAGGTAAAACATCTCAGGGAACTTACCATAATTATGTTAATCATTTTTTATTATTTGTTTTTTATCCCCAACTATTTATTTCAAATAGGTGGCGAGTGATCCAGATGACAGTAGATGATAGGTTTAGGGCACTAAGAGGACTGAGCTCTGGTGGCGTCGCGCCTAACCATTCCTTCCTTTCAGCATCCGTTGAACACCCATGGGAGCGAGCTACCACCCCTGCAAAGGTCCCATACTACATTAAGTAAGTTTTTCAACTATTGTAGTTATTAGAGAGAACTACATCATGTCTCTACATCGTTATAGTGGTTATTGTATAAAATACTGAAAACTTGTAATTAATATTTTTATTTTCTAGTCACCAAACAGAGACAACACACTGGGACCATCCGAAAATGATCGAATTAATGAACTCACTTTCTGAACTCAATGAAGTTCGTTTCTCTGCATATAGAACTGCTTTGAAGCTGCGCACTGTTCAGAAGAGAATTTGCTGTAAGTAGTTTATATTATATTCTTTTTTACCCTTATTTCATTATTGAGAGTATAATCTTCTCCTCATAAATATAGAAACTAAAACATTATTAAAGGGAAAAATAAGTTGGTTGCTGATATTAACTAGTCTCCATCGAATTCTGTTAGTATTCTGACTAGTTGCAATATTAAAGTAATTTTGAAATCAATATAATATGCCAATATTTACTTTTGTGTTATTTATTTCAGCAGTCTTGTTTGGCTTTTGTAGCACAATTACTTGTGAAGAAGTAAAAATAAATTCATGTTTCATTTCAAAAAGTTATTAACAACTTAACAACTTAAAGTTAACAACATAAATATAAGTTATATAAATAAGTTAACAACTTAAAGTTATTAACAACATAAATATTTTTACTTGTCAATTGTAGATCAAACTTTGCTATAATATTGAAGTCTAGTATCTGGATGTTATTTAATGATTCACCTACACACAACTTGTATTCAAATTAATTATTTAACTCAAATAATATTATTAGTTTATATTTTTTACATTTTGCTCATTAATTTCTATTTCTTCTTCGCAACCTTACCTATATTTGAAATTTAAGGGAAAAAAAGCTCTTAGAATTTGTAGTGATTTTATTTCTATTTGTATATTTCAAGGCTGCTTTGTCCCCCTGGCCAGCTTCTAAAATATACCCCAATATTGGATGAGTCTAAGAATAACTTCGGTCAATGACTATCATTTCTTAAACTTGAACAATAAATAGGCAACGTGGTGGAGAAGAAATTAAAATTAAATAATATTGACAGTAGTTATGATTTTACTTTTTAACGGTATGGTATGTTGATGTGTTTATAGTGGACCTAGTTACTGTGACAAGGGCTATCGATGTGTTCGACACTCACGGCCTCAGAGCGCAGAATGACAAAGTTCTGGATGTTACAGACATGATCAGTGTTCTAAGAACAATCTACGAGACCCTCGCAGGAGAAAATCCTTCGTTAGTTAACGTTCCTCTCTGCCTTGACTTAGCTGTCAATTGGCTTTTGAATGTCTACGACAGGTATTGAAAATTTATTTTATTTTTAATAACAATGATGTTAGTTTTTTAATTATTTACTCTAAATTTTCGGTTATGCTTTATTCCTTTCAGCCAAAGAACTGGACAAATGAGAGTACTCTCATTTAAAATTGGTATAGTACTACTTTGTAAAGGTCATTTGGAACAAAAATATGGATGTAAGTATATATATTTTGGAAATATATTTTTATTAATTTTTTTTTTATAATAGAAAAAAAGACAGATATTATTATGTCTGTTATATGGTTAGTATGGTTTACTAACTTTATTTCTACTCGGTTTGTTACAGATATGTTTAGGTTAATGGCTGATCCAAACAGACTAGTTGACCAGAGGAAGCTTGGTCTTTTGTTGCATGATTGCATTCAAATACCTCGTCAGCTTGGAGAAGTTGCAGCTTTTGGAGGATCCAACATAGAACCTTCTGTCCGAAGTTGCTTCGATGAAGCTGGAAATAATGCAACACATATTGAGGTATAGCTTGTTTTTTCTTAATAATAATATTTAATAGTTCATACTTATGGTAAATGTTAAAGGACTGACTTGACATAAATCCTAATTAAATTGCTTTAAAAAAAAAAATGAAAAAATATTAAAATTCTTTTTCACGAACAAAGGTTCTGTTTATGTTCACTTGAACAATTTGTTTATTAAAATTTAGCCAACTTTTGTGTTTTGTGTAAATTATTTATTTAGCACTTTTCTGTTGATGGTTTTTATTTTAAATTGTGATTGATTTATTGATCTCAAGAATAATGTTCTTTCAAACAGATGCTAACAGTCCATCAGTAATGTTCCTTCTGGTGTATTACTGTTTTTTTTTTTAAATTTATAATTCACTTTATTATTACAACATCTACCTTTTTTACAAAAATATATTTTACCAAGACAAGCATTTATCATTTGATAACTTGATGTGAGGATAATTTATGTATTTTTTAAATTATTTTGTATAAAATATTTACTCTTTTCTCTGTCCTTTGTTAAAAAGAAAAAGAAAATACCGTTTTACATACCATTGGTTTATTGCAAAAGTCATCAAGTTTGTATCGGTAAATAAAGTCAAAATTCACAAAAACATATTTGAAAGTTTACCTATGTCAAAAATTTACTTAATGACTTTTCGCAATAAACCGACAATATTTGTTGATAAAAATATCACATAGTTTGTTATTGCTGTTTATGGGTATTTGTGGTGGTATATATTCCAGCTTTAACTAAAATTGCATTTTATTTTAGTAACAAAAATTAATAATCATACTGTTGATAAATTTGTAATTGTTAATTATAAATTATATTACAGGCAATCCAGTTTCTTAGTTGGTTGGAAAAAGAACCACAAAGTATGGTATGGCTTCCTGTTCTTCACAGAGTTGCAGCAAGTGAATCAGCAAAACATCAAGCAAAATGCAATATTTGTAAAGCTTATCCAATCTTAGGTTTTAGGTTTGTATTTATTTTTCTCTGTATTGATAATATACAAGAATATCCGAATCTATTTGATCCAGTAGCATTATCTATTTTAAAATTTTGACCTTCTTACTATGTAAGACTTAATGAGCTAGTATGATAAATAAATTAGACTTATTTTATACAACTGTTATAATTTTTGCTTTTAGATATCGTTGCCTGAAGTGTCTTAACTTTGATATGTGTTCAGCATGTTTCTTCTCTGGCCGCAAAGCTAAAAATCATAAACTTAGTCACCCAATGCAGGAATATTGTACAGCAGTAAGTTCCTATACTTTCATAGTCTGTCTATTTCTTTATTTATTGATCAATATATTTTATAGTAATTATGATTGTTTCTTTTTAGACTACCTCTGGCGAAGACGTAAGAGATTTCACGAGAGCCCTTAGGAATAAATTCAAGTCGAAGAAGTATTGGAACAAGCACCCGAGAGTGGGATACCTTCCGGTCCAGACAGTGTTAGAGGGAGATCCGTTGGCAGCACCTCCTACTCCACCTCACGCTCCTGCCGCCTCCCAGCATGATGTCCATTCCACATTGGAAATGTATGCTTCCAGGCTGGCAGAGGTTGAGCTTCGCACTCGCACCAATTCCACGCCTGATTCGTTAGTATAACAACACTATTTTTGAACAATTTAATTTGATTCTATAAAACAAAAGAAAAAGAGTTGTAGATAATGTTTGAAATTTTGATTGAAACAAATATCAAAGCTTCCTTATTTATTCCATTGAATAATCTTTTGTTCATTTTAACATGTTTGCTGCCACATACGAGTTATCTGGTAGGTCAAAGTTCAAAGTTATCTTATACATGTCAACTACGAGTTAATTAGAAGAACATTTTTGTTTTACCTCTGCCACATATGATCAAACTCGTAGTATTTTCATGCTCCTAAAAGAGATCAGGGTGTAGTGGAACCGTTTTGAAAATATCGCTCGGCAGTGAACATGTTAATGATAGTAATAATTTATGAAAGTATAATTCTCAATTAATTGGGATACAGTTTAACATTGTTCAATGATATGCTCACTAAAAATTTATTGTTTAGATATCTATACCTATAATGATTTTTTATTCTGTAACTGAGATTTCTTCAAACATTTTATACTCACTCTCCCTATTTCTCTCTCTCTTTCTCTTGTTATATTCTGCATTTTATATGTTACATTTCTTATGCTTTGTACTAATAAAAATAAATATGCTTAACATTTGAATATTCATATACAGTTTCTATAATGGAAATAATCTTTGCGCTTTATGAATTACCCATATGTGAGTTATCATACACTATTGTAGTTAATACAATTTTTTTTTTATTTATGAAACAAATATTTTGGCTTGTGTTTGTTTCTGGACTACAGCAAATAATTACAGTTTCTAGAGTTAAAATATGATAAATTACTGTAAAAAAATTACTTTAGACTATAAAGTAAAAGCCAATGTTATTTTCACTTTCAAATATGATTTTTCTTCTTAACAGTTAACAATAGCTTAAATCTTAACAAATGAAAGGTTAAAATAACATTATATTTTATTTTGTATGAAACTCCATATTTGGTAATAACTAACATTCTTGATTGTTATTCTCTGCATGTTTTTTTTTTTTTTTTTATGAATGAGCAAGAACTGCCAGGAAATACAATTAGAAATATAACATTGAAGATCGTATTAAAATCATGATTTCTTACAAAATACTCTTTTTTGTTATAAATTTATTTTAGAGCCATTGTTACTAGTTATATATTAATACTTATGATTGATTTTATTGCAAAATTTTTATTATTAGATTTCTTGAGTCCATCAGCTAAATAATTTTTTTCTCACTTTGAAGTTGAATTTCCTTCTTGTATTTGCTCATTTCTCATTCGTTTTTCATCACAATTTTTTTTGCCTAATTTTTTTTTTTAACGTCATCATGCACCGCATTAGCATTACGTTAAATAATTTCTCACATTGTCTTGTAAATGCTTTTATAATAATTGTAAATGTTGATAATACCACCTAACATTATATTAGTTGTCCAATGTCAAAATATCCTGTTGCTAAAAGGGGTTGTCCAGTAGTAATTTTGAAAAAGTCAAATTTGTGTTTATCTCTTATTGAGAATTATTAAAAACCAAAAATAAATCTGAAAAGAAAAGAAAAATAAATTCGGAAAGAAATTAGAGGGAGTTACAGTGTAAGGTGGTGTTTCCAGAGATGATGAGCACACTCTTATAGCTGCCTATTGTAGCTCGTTGAACGGGGGAGAGCCGTCGTCCATACCAAGGAGCCCGGTACAGATCATCCAAGCGATTGATGCTGATCAGCGCCATGAGTTGGAGAACATGATAAGGTCAGTATCTCATACACATTGGTCAACAGATATAAAGATAAAATGTATAAACATATATCAAAATAACAATTTTTTATATCTTGGAAGATCTATTTTTCATCATTCTACGTATTTTGTCTCATATTTTCTTCCATTATAATTTATAGTATATTTTATTTTACATTGGATATGAGAAGTCCTCAAATTTAAGTTTCCTTAATTTTTCCTTGCTAAAGTTGGCGATTCAATGAATAAAATAGAATAACGGAATTTGGAAACACTAGAAACAGGGAATTTTCTCAGAGCTTTATTTTTCAGTATTTAAAGCAATACAACACATACAAATACAAATATAAATGGATAAAAACTCATACAATAAATTAATCTACAATTTTAAAATGCCTTATTAGAAATACAAAAAAATGCTTATTCAGGACGATAATGAATCAATGAATAAGAAATAATATTCAGAAGGTATATGTATAATATATTGTTGCAAAACGGAGAATTTTAGAAAAAATAATTTCAAATTAATAAAGTTGTATAAGGTAACCTAAAGTGACATACAAAATATCGATAATAATTTCTGAAAAATAACATTATTTAACGTAAATCATATGTTTCAAAGGAAATTAAATAAATTTTTCTTTTACTACTACTCTTTGGCGCTACAGACAGATGTGGTCCTTGGCCTCATCGACAATTCTTCGCCAGGTAGTTCGGTATTGTGCTGCTGCTTGCCACTTGTAGATGTTGAGTACGTTGCGGGCATCCCTGGCAACCGTGTCCTCCCATCCAGCAGTTTCCTGGGCATTTCTACTTCCAGCATACGTGCAACGTGGCCAGCCCACCACATTTTTACCTACCTAATAAACCTAATTATGTCAGTTTTGCCTTAAATTTGGTAAATTTCGTTGTTTGTCTCCTCCTCCTCCAGTCCTCTCCAATCCTTGCCAATCCAAATATTCGTCGGAATATTTTTCTTTCAAATATAAGAATTTCTCTCTCCTCATTACTTGTGAGGGTCCAAGTCTCCGATCCATATGTTAGGACAGGTCTTATAAGAGTTTTACATCAGAGGCAGTTAGTGCAGCGGGATAGGTGAGAACTTCTCAGGTGTTTCCTGAGACCAAAATAGCACCTGTTGGCTTTGATGAGTCACTGACTAGTTTCTATGGAGATCCTGTTTCCACAACTCACTACTGACCCCAGGTACACAAACTGGTCGACGTTCTGGAACCTAAATTGGTACATCTCCACTGGCCGTCGGTCCGTTGTCTCTGCTCCTGGCCCAACTCTCATATATTTTGTCTTCTACTGTTTACACACATTCCCATATCCTCTGCAGCCTTTGGCAACTTGAGAAAATCTTTTAAGAACTCAAAAGATTTTGCGACGATATCCAAGTCATCAGCAAAGCCGAGTGCCTTAACGAGCCGGTTGAATATGGTGCCAGAGGTCTGTATGCCCAAATTAGAACTTTTTTGTTATCAAACACTTTCCAAAGTTCTACCAAGCACATCTTCCGAAATGGTGATACTATTACTGGTTTTTATCCACTGGAGTCTGGATCCCTTCTCCCATCCTCTCTTCATCCCAGCCAAACACCAACTGCTTGTCAAACAAAATCCTTTGTCCCCTCTCCGTTTTGAGATTTTCTTTTCTGGGGAAACTACAGATCAGCTATTTTCTATTTCAATTAAGGTGTATATTACTATATATATATATATATATATATATATATATATATATATATATATATATATATATATATATATATATTACTATATATATTCAAATATATATATATTTTACTGACCATATTTGTTGAAATATGGATTTGTTTAAAAATCATGATGATGATCACTAGTATATTAAAAATAAATAAATATGTTTATTTGCTTAAAGAACATTATTTTTTCTAAATAATCAATTCATTCAATAATTGTTGAAGGAAGATCCATCCCTAACATATATGTAATAATAATAATTTAGCATTTAACGCTCGTGTTATGATTAATTTAGGGAACTGGAGGAAGAGAATGCAGGGCTGCAGGCTGAATGGGAGAGGCTGAGACGACAATCAGGGGCCAGCGATGGAGTCGAAGAGGCAGATATGGCAGCAGAAGCAAGGCTACTTCGCCAGCACAAGGGCAGGCTCGAAGCAAGGATGCAGATACTTGAGGACCACAACAGGCAACTGGAAGCACAACTCCAGAGGCTCAGGCATCTCCTACATGAGGTTGTTCAAATTTCAAGTTCAAATGTTCAAATTTAATTACCTTTGTATATCTAATCAATTACCCAACTAGAGGGTAGCAAGACAGGTGGAAGTACATCAGTTTAGCTGAACTGTTTGTAGGTATGTAACAGTGTTTGAGCAAATAGCTCAACCAATTTTCAAGTTTGATAGGTCAGATTATTCATTAAGATCCCTAGAGTATCCTAAAACAATATGAGATTAAAATACTGACAAATTATTGTATTAAATTTCATTATTCTGGTCAATTGAAGGTGTGTAACGTTTTTTTGATTAAACGGCTCAAAATACCAATAAAATATTATTTTGTATTTTAAATATTCTCGATTTTTTGTTGGTTGCATATCACATTAGGTATAAGTACATGATTTTATGTAATACATGAAAAACTGAAATCATTAAAATAAAAAATAATTTCATTTAAAAAAAAACTGATTACTGAAATAACTCCATATATCTTAAGGAATGGAATATACTTGTTTAACTACTTACGCAATAACATATTAATGGGCTATTAGGGAAGTTGACGCCCATGAATTCAGAAACTTGGTGTAGCGACTGGTTACCTTCAACTATGCTTTATAGCTTTTTGAATATATTGTCTTATGCAACTGTTCATGTCAGCATAAAAAAGCTCCTTGCATCTGTACATGTAAATATGCAGAGAGTAAATTGATATATTGTTTGAAGAATTTTAAATTTTGTTTTGAAATATACATTACTTTCTAAATTTTTTATTCTAGCAATCAAAAGAAATTTACATAACAAAAGTAATGCCATAAATCGACTTAATTTGTGATGCATTAATACAGAATTAAGGTTTCGGGAAAATGTTTCACATCATCAGAACTGTCCATTCTTTTATATTTTATAAGTATGCTCAGTTTTTCAATACATTGTTTTCCTTATTTTTGATTTGAGCCATATCTGGGGTAACACGTGTCTTGGCCAACAATTGGTTTCATTTATTAAATTTTTTAGTTCTTTTCCTTGGATTTGGACATTATTTATTGATCCCGAAACACAGTTAGTGCATCAAAATTACACAAATCCTTTTATCAAATATTGTTTCACTGACAAGGGGTGGTTAGAGGCGTGATGTCGCTCGATGAAACATTTTTTGTTTTTTTGGTGAAACTCTTTTTTTGAAGTGTCTTGGTAATACAATAAAATTTTAAAGATATTTTTTTTATCGGCTCCTAGAACCGATAATATACTATCCCTTAACACCTTAGCTGCAGTTACGGTCCCCGGCATCTATCAGATGTATTGATTATTTATGTTTGTATCTATCTTTAGAACTATCCAATTCCCATTCAAATATTTTTAAAAAAGATCATTTTAGAGACTTTGTAAGATAGGCAAAATTCTAAACGATCCCAGCCAAAATCGAGACTATGTTTTATTTATGTTTGTATCTATCTTTATAAATATCCAAATCCCATTCAAATATTTTTAAAAAAGATCATTTTAGAGACTTTGTAAGATAGGCAAAATTCTAAACAATCTCAGCCAAAATTGAGACTATGTTTTATGCTTTATTTATGTTTGTATCTATCTTTACAACTATCCAATTCCCATTCAAATATTTTTAAAAAAGATCATTTTAGAGACTTTGTAAGATAGGCAAAATTCTAAACAATCCCAGCCAAAATCAAGACGGATAACAGAACCGGGGACCATAACCGCAGCTAACCTGTTAAGATGGGACTATAATTATAATTTTATTTTATGCCTATAATTATTTAATTTTCTAGTTCAACTTATGTTAGTATTAATATTATCAAATGATAACTATATTAATTGTTTTATTTTTACAGCCGAGCAGCAAATCTGGGACAGGAACGCTGCAGACTCGATCAGTGACAGCTTCACAGCTCGCCCAAGATTCACCTGCCAAGCAGCACGAGCAAGCAGGTGGGTCTCTAATATTATTCTGAATCTCTTATGTTTATTTATCTCGTAAATAAAAATGGTTTTGCATGAATAACAATCCAACTAACTGGGTTTAACTCTATAATTATATTCTCTTCTTGCATATAACAAAAATTATATTTGTTTTGATCTAATGAGAAAAATTTATTCTTATAATTAAAGGTTTTTTGTTATGGGAATTTAATTGTTTTAGAAAAACTATCATTTTTTCTATATTAACCATTTTTTCTATATTAACCATTTTTTCTATATTAACCATACTTAAACATAATAGTAGGCCTCTCCTAATTAAGGAAGTAAAGGTCTGATTTCCCAAAGTTCTGGGAGTTAAGGGTGTGTATTTGATCCAGTGGTCTCTATTGGAACACTACTTTGATATTGCATAAAGCTCTTCAAAAATTGCAGAACAATGCTCATTGCTTGGCCTCCTTGTTGTACATAATTGATTTTATCTGAAATTAGTTTATTTTACTATTATATGACATAATTTGCTTTAATATAAATATTTAAAAACTGTCAACTGATATTTTCTAATTTTCCCGTAATCTTTGCAATTACTCCTAATTAGTTTTATTTTCTTTGGGGGACTACATTTATTTTCATTTAAATACTTTTAAATGTGACTTACAATATTTTTTATATATATTTAAAAATATTAATAGCTTTGTAAATATACTTGCTGAAATAAGCTTTAATGTTTTATTTTTTAAATTATAATTTAATTATTCTGGCTATACCCTTAAGGGTCATTGGCATTTATTTGTAGTTTATGTTAGAAATTATTTTGTTTCTTGATTATTACATTGTTTAAATTGCTTTATCTGCTTAATTACTTTTTAGGCTATTCAAAGAAAATTGAATTTTAAAACATTAATTATCATAAACCTTAAATGAAGATTTAATTATTTAGATTTAATGTGATCTATTTCTCTATAAATTTTAATAGTTGTTCATTATTAATATCAGACTCCTTTCAACTTCTAATATCCAGAGTACACACCTGATTTTTTTTGTCATAATTTTGTTAGTTTGTCTGTTTTCTTTGGGTTTCTCATCATTAAGTTTGTACAATATAATTAGTGCATTTTCAGAACACTGATTAACTTTATTTAAATTTATTGTATATTAAAAAAAAGTATAATGTTAAGTCATTATTGATAATTCTGATTTTATTTTGCCTTAAAATTATCCTGATCTTACTACTATGAAATGTGTAATATAATTTATCAAAAGCGTTTTTTGTTACTTGATCTTCACTTAATACAATCTATGGTATAAATTAAAAAAGCAATTTTTTTAATAATAAAATTCAAAACTTAGGTTTGAACATACGAACATACGAAATTAAAAAGACAATCTATAAATACTAGACGATATAGCCAACTCTCACATCTTCTGGACTACAGATGTTCACTTAACTTACGAAACAAGCGACTGATCTACAACACCTTACTGAGACCAACCAATATGGACATATGGAGCAGAACTTTCGGGTACAGCAAAACACACACACATAAACAAAATACAAACAGCACAATCAAAAATTTTACGAAAACTTGTTAACGCACCTTGCTACATTTCAAATACTACTATACATAACGACTTAAACACCCCAACGGTAAAATCCTACATCCATGACAAATACACTACATTTCATTCTTCAACCCAAAATCACTCCAATCCTCTGATTCTTTCTATCTCCTGCTCCCTGTTACCTGAACAACGCAGATTAAAAAGAAATTGGCTAAGAGACCTACTATATCAATAAAAACCATATCAAGCAAATACACCAAGACAGTACAAACACAACAAATTTGCTAGATGCGCAGCCGCGCAGGTGCAAATCATATAAAATAAAATCATATAGGTATAAAATATAAATAAATAAAATAAAGATTTGACATATGAATATATTATTATTATTGGTATATAAAATTAAAAAGCGTAAAATTATTATCATGAAGTATTTATTTTCACAAGATATGACCAAGATGTTATGTACTCAAAATTGTTAGGAATCAATGATCAGGAACTAGCTCAAGTAAAGAATTGTACTGAATAAAAATATTTAGTCTTTGAAAAATTTATTCTCAATGCAAAGGACCTTAGTAAAATTGATGTGAAAAGTACTCTACTAATTCTATTATCTCAGTTTAAATGCAGAAATACCAGTGAAAAACAGAAGTTTTTTTCCTACTATCCTAAACATAGTATTTCGATATTTAGCTTTTTAGCATTATTAATTTATTTTACCAGAGCTTACTTTAATTGTAATGAAAAGGATCTCTTGTTGCTTTTAGAAAAAAAATTAAAAATACAGGAAATTTATAGATTATTGACATCACCATTTTTGTACAAACCTGCTTTATAATATTGTTGGAGATTGAATGAAAAAAGACTTGTTTGTTTTGTTTTGTTATTTTGCTTGGTGTTGGTGTTGGGTTTGGTTGCTAAGGATTGGGATGTTTAGGTGCTCGCTGGGAGAGGCCCCCGCCTCCGGCCATGTCTGTATCCCACAACCTGTCGACCCTTCATCACATTGCAGGTACATGCCTCAGTCTTAACATCACCTCTTTCATTCATGCACTGTGTTCTGGTTTCAATTTGTTTTTGCTTTATTTGAAGCTTTATTTATTTAATTATTTTGTGAATCACTGTGATGATCTGACATCATTACTGTATAGAAATTTGATTTATTGCTCACTTATTCATTGTTATAAATGGCATAATTTATAAATTATTATAAATGGCACACAGTTTTGCTTTTTTTTTTTAATTTACATTAAACTTTTATCTTGTGTTTATCTCTGCATGAATTGTTAATTTTAAAAATTCAATCAGTTGTTGGCATGCTCGGTTTTCCCATTACTTTTTCTCCCTCGATATTTAGTATATTTCTTCAAATTAAAAGAGATTTCTTTGCCTTTATACTAAACAAAAAAAAAAAAAATATTACATTTTGCTTTGCTTACAATTTTACTTGAAATATGTTTTATATAATGGTTTCGTGTAGCTCAGTGAATAAGTCACTGTGCTGCTATCCATCCAATCCCAAGTTTAAGTCTGACTGTATAATTATTTATTCTGTTACATCAGCTATATATCAACCCAGTAATCCCTCCTGGGGCTCATCCAGCCTCTATGAAGCGGATGTCCAATTAATAATTAATTAAGGGACAAACCTAGGGTTGAGTGTGATCTCGGCCAAATCATCTCCTTGCTCAATTATTGGCCTAGAAACCGTACTTACTTACAAAGTAATGCACACAAGACCTGGTGGCAGAATGACCAAGTGGGCTAACGTGTGTGAACAGCACCGCTCATTGCCTGCCAACCTGATAACCGAAGTTATACATGATATATATAACCTCACAAAGCTTTGCAATATAACTGTGACTATATTTGGAAACCATCATGCAACTCTTCAACGCCCTGTTCATCAATCCACTCCTCTTTGATTTGTTTTAAGCCCTTTTAGTGACTGTCACAAATTTATTTTGTTAGCTGTAATAACTACATACTTTCTTGTTTTGTTTTATTTAAAATTTTGTGACACAATTCTAAATTTTATTTGAGGAATTCAGATAATAACAAAACAAATAAATCTTCGTTTTATACATGAAATTTAAATATATTTTTTAATAAATTTTTGTTATCGGATGATCATCCGATTCGGATTCAAGCTTCTTTAAATACTAACATATATTATTATTTTTATTTATATATATATATTTGTATTTGTTTTTTGCTTTGTTGTAATCATTGATTATTAGTGACAGATTTTTAATTTAAATTTAATTGTAATGACAAGATGATAGCATAATATGTAATACAAAGCATGTGTGATTTGCATGAATGCATGTAAATGATGAATTATTTGTATTTCACTTCCAAAATTAATATTTTTTTTATGTATTTATTACATGCAGCAACAGGAAGATTATAGGTATATATAAATATCAATATGTTCTGATCATGTTTAATTTAAAATTTTTTTTTCCTCCTTTTGCCATTATAGACCATCAATTTATATGAATTCAGATTGAAATATTACAATATGATTCATCAAAATGTGTTTATTTCTTAGAGGAAGTGTGTTTCATAATTTACACAAAAACATGTTACTTCTTATGAGCAGTCAGTTTTATTTCTTTTAACCTTGTTTTCTCTTATATATTTACTATTATTAAATGGTAAAGATGTCCTCTCTGTTTGAGACTATCTATGTAGAACATTTTTCTATTTTTTATTGAAAGTAAATCATTTTATTCATAATCTTCAAACAAAATATTTATTATATCTTTTAAAAGATATTATCATTCTTTCTAACAATCCTCTTTAATGACTGTTTTTTTTTTTTGTTTTTTTTTTCAAAGGTTTGTAAATAATATATTGGTTTTTTTGTTTTGTTTTTGCCAAATATGTAGTCTAAAAGAAAAATCAATACCCTCATGGACTGAAAAATATAAGAAATAGTAATTATATAAAATTGATAATGAGTAAATTAATGTTCTAGGCCAGGGGCTCCCAAACTTTAGCGAGTCTAGGCCTACTATAAAAACTGATAAGGACACACATAAAAGACAACAAGAATAAAAGGAATAAAGTAAGAATAGAATTAATTTTTACATTGTATACTTATTTTTATTTTAACAATTTTAATTTATCTTAACATTCAAAAGAATTTAAGTTTATATTTTTCATTTTATTATTATTATTTTTTTTTTAATATAAATTAAAACTAGATGTTGAATTGAAACTGTATGACCCACATAATTACTTAACACTATATTGTAATACATATAAACTAAATATTTTTTTTTTTAATTTTTACACAAACTAATCTAGAATGAACAAATATTGATAATGTTTTATCGACACGCATGAAGTGAGCTTATGCTCCTCATTTTGGGAACCCCTAGGCATGGTAGGCAAAGGAAATACAGAAACGTGCTGTTCCAAAAATAATAATTTAAATTCAATATATTGAGATATTTCACCTTTTGTTTCTACATTCTTATTGTATTTTAATTTTTTATACTCATTCTAGCCGACGTCGGGAGAGCAGTACACGAACTGGTGGCACTGCTAACCAACAGTGAAGAAGGGACCGCCGCTGCGTCATAACTGCTCCACTCCTCGTCTGACCTGAAGAAGAATTTTATACACAAAGATTTTTCGTTTCTTTCCATTGCTGAAGATTTTTGTCACCTGCCTTCGTCACAATAATTCTTCCCATTGAGGCAGTTTAATCATAAATGTATGAGAAAAATGTAACTGTACCTAAATTTTATACTTTTATTGACAAATGTTGACTAACATTCATTTGTATTGTATCCAGTTTAATGAGATTATGACTAATACTGGGACTATTATCATCTAATGAAAACTTATATTATTTAAAAACAATTTTAATTTAATGACATATCAATTTTTAATCATTCCATATCAGCATTGGTTGAAATGTTACAACTAAACATCATCTTCCCTAAGTCATATCATTGTAAAATAGTATATAATTATAAATAAATATATATAAAATATATAAATAGAGTTGTATAATGTAAGTTTGTTTTTATTTGAAATCTGGTGTTGATCAGATTTTTGTAAGTTATGTTAAAATTATATATGTATTTGTATTATATTATCTTTTTCTTTCTATCATGCCTTGTGAAACCTGAGCCATAATTTTTGTCTCCTTCCTATTCCTAATTATTCAAATTATATTGATTTCTATTTCAATAGTTTTTATTATCATCTTATTAGTTTGTTTCATAATTTGATAATAAAATAACAATAATGCTACAATAATCTATCATGAGATATCACAAAAACATGTCCATTCCTTATCTCCTGATCCTCCATCTTGAAAGAAAATAAATTTTTAAAAAAGAAACTTTACAATGCCTTTTTACTGTTTATCTTCCCATATTTTCCCCATAATTGACAATGAATATGAAATCCAAGAGAAGAATAAAACTCATTTTATTTTAGTTATTTTACTATTTATTAGCAGAAATTATTTTTTGTTAGCCTGATTAACTTTTAAATTAATTTAATTTAAGATTTCTGTTATAGTTTTATTTAATATAAAAATGTAATTGAAAACAGTAATGTTTTATCGAAGAGTTTAAAATTAATAATGTCAGACCATTACAGGGCTTTATTTTGTTTCATCTCTTATTTTCTTTCATAGCTTCACCGTGCATTGAAAAACTTCTGTGATCTATGTTTTGCAATGTTACATTATGGAATCAACACTTTTAGATTAAACAGCAGTGTTTGCTAACATTGAGACTCATATTTGATTTTTTGAAATCTCTGAAAAATGTTCATTAGTGTTAAGGTCTAAATTGACTGAGATTGATGGAGGTAAATGTATATATGATACAAGAAATAATAGCTACACATGGTTGACAATCTTAAATGAAACATTTTCTCATGAAGCCGTGGAAATTATAGTGGAAAAGATCAATTACCATACATGCACCTCAAAATGATGTCCAACTGTTGTTTAAGAATTTTAAAAGAAATACACGATCAAAAATAATCATTACCAAAAAATCCATTTTAAACAACCAAAACAATTTATAAGCTAAATCGCACCAATAGACATGCTTAAGGAAATTTTTTTGAGCTTTTATGTGTAAAAACTTGAATAAAAATAATGTATTTTTCTGGTATTCGTCCTATAGAAATACTTCTCGCCTTATCCAGGCATATTTCAAATCCACGAAACATCCATCAATATTTTAAAACAGAATATTTGAATTTAAAAAAGAAACAACTACAGAAATTAGGAAATTTTATCCACCCTAAGCAAATATACTTCGATGTTTATTCAAACATCTTGATAGATTCATTGAGAAATTTATATCATCGATTTAACCCATTTTTATGATTTTGATTACACTCACTAGGTCAGTGTATTGTGATTAATAATTTAAAGTAGGTTTTATTCTAATTGATGTAACTAGAAAAAGCTTTATTGCCAATTGTTCAAAATTTCTTCCTCTAAAGTATCTTTAATTTTTTTTATTTGAAATAATTAACGGTTTCACATTTGGACACAAACCATTTTGCGGGACTTGGTTATTTGGACTCAGGAGACCTCAAAACATGTATTTCCGTTGAAAACTCAGATTCGAAAATGTTCACGATCGCAATACGAAAACTCAGATTCGAACATTTTCATGATTCCAATATTGTCCCTTACTGTATATTTCATATATATGTAAGTGAAAGTAAAAAAATCCGACTACAGAAATCAGGAAATTTTATCCACCTTAAGGATATCTATTGTACTTCCATATCTACTTAAACATCTTGGTAGATTGATAGGTAAATTGATATTTACTTATTTTTAAGTTTGCTATAGTAGTCGGGTGCCTTTCAGCTCCTACAGAATACAGCTCCTAGCAAATTGATTTGGTTCCGTGTATCAGTGCATGTGAAGAATGTCCTAAAGATTCTTAAGTTTTGTTCGGTGATGATAGCCACCTGACTGCTACATCAAGTTTTAATATTTGTAGATCTCAATTTCCCAATCAATCTATCAAGATGTTTAAATAGATGTAGAAGTACATTTCAGGTAGAAATCTTTGGTTTGCACTCCATAAGTTTTCGTTGAATACCATATCACCAACAACTTACTGGCCTAATTCGAGACTTAAATCACCAAATCTACTGGACTTCTTTGTTACTAAAGGACTACAGGCCATACCTTACTCAATTAGATCTAGCTACGATTTATGCTCTGATCATTCCCTTCTACTCTTGGTCCTTTTTGAAAAACCATGTCATAAGGAAGAACACTCATCACTTATTCAAGGAAACATAGATCGGAATTGTTTTCAAGCTAATTTAAGTCAACTGTTTTCAGTTCCTCTCTCATTGAAAAATGAAAACAAAATCGAAGAAGCCTGAAAAGAAAGAAGTATTGACAAAGAACATCCAGGAATCTCATAAAATTCTGAAACAAACAAATAAATAACCAGCCTAATTACCCAAAGTGTATAAGGAAGGGATTTGATCAGAGCCTCATAAGGTATGGCAGACTGACAGACTACTACATAGGAGAAACAGACATAACTGAATAAATTATGAATTAAAAAGTCAAATACAAAAATTCAAACAGACTAATTATGATACATTTATAAATAACCTCAGCACTGAATGGATTTATGGAGACAAACTAATAAGCTATTAAAGCATCACAAGGAGCTTGCACCACTATGAAAAGAGGGTTCTTGGGTCCTGTGAAAAAATGAAAAATCTGAACTCTTTTATGTCCATCTATCGACTCTCTTTACACCATATACAGACTACCCAGACAGTGAACATGACAATTATATACAAGATTCTCAAGAAATCCGCTTACAAAAAGAATTGATAACTACGGATTTTGAGGAATGAGGTATCAACTGAAAAGGAATTTTATGAAGACATGATGAACCATAATCACATCCTCCTGAAATTTTAGTGGAAAAATTTACAATGGAAAATAAATGAGAAACTGGCTTGAGATTTGTATTTAGCACCTCGAATAACCCTTTTATATAAATTTTCATATAAATCAAAAAATAATTTTTTTTTTTCTCCAAATTTTCACTAAGGCTTGGTTTATTTACTAACCATAGGTTTTAAGGAATATGATATAAAATGAAAGAGAATTTCACGAAGACGTGACTAAACATAGTCACATCCTCCTGAAATTTCATTGGAAAAAGTAAGGAAGGAAAAGAAACATTACTTGGAAACATTTTTTTAAGGAGAAACAGAGTTGGGATTCGTAATTAGCACCCTCAAAAAACTCTCAAAAACGAATGTTCATAACAATCGAAAAATAAAACTTTTTTGCTTCGAATTTTCACCATGGCTTATAGCCTTGGATCTTTTTTTTTTTAAATCACAAAAAAAATTATGACCCTGGATTTTGTGGAATGGGGTATCAAATGAAAAGGTGTTTGACGGAGAACAATAGTCACATCCTTCCGAAAGTTTAGTGGAAAAAGTTATGTAAGAAATAGACACATTTTTATTTTTAGATATCTCAAACAATTTTTTAAGGAGAAACAGAGTTAAGATTCGTAATTAACACCCCCAAGAACTCCCAAATACGAATTTCCATAGCAATCGAAAAATAAAACTTTTTTACTCCAAATATTCACTAAGGCTTGAGACGAAAATCACAAAAATTTTGATAACAATAGATTTTGACGAATGAAATATCAAATGAAATGGAATTTCACGAAGACGTGACGAACTTCCTGAAATTTCATTAGAAAAAGTTTCAAAGTAAAAGAAACATTACTTAGAAATAATTTCCAACAATGCTTATTTGAAACGCGTTACTAAATTCTTCACAAAAAAATTGACATCAATTTGAAGTTAGTATATTTGTAACTAACTATTTACAACTATCAAAAGAGCAAAATGGATTCAAGTATTTTTTTTTAACAAGAAACAGAGGTGAGATTTATATTTTGGGTTTTTGTAAATTAAAATTCATTTAACACAAGTGGTAATATTGTTTTCTTATTTTACATAAAATAACAAATCAGTTTATGTATAATAACTTAAAAATCAATGCAGAGCATATTCGGAATACATCAATATACAAAAAGTATTAAAATTTTATAAAATATTTTGTTTCTTGGCTCCTAGAGCGTATTGGCAAGAACCCTTGAACATGGGTGAAATATTTTTTGACCTAGTATCACTAAAACAATTTTCATTGTAATCGGTGACTCCACGTGAGTAATCTAATGTAATCTATATGTAATCTAAAGTAAGGGGAACTATTGCGATCCTGAAAATTTTCGAATCTCAGTTTTCACTGGAAATAAATGTTTTGAGGTCCGCTGAGTTCAAATAATTAAGTCTCGCAAAATGGTCTGTGTGTATGTGAACTGTCTAGCTCAAAAACGAAAAGTCCTACGAAACTGATATTTCGTATTTAAGATAGGTATGACTGGGATGTTACAATTTTTTTCTTAAAAACGGATAACCGGAAGTGCCATTTTATATCATCGATTTTACACATTTTTACAATTTTCTCAAAAATGGCTCCAACAATTTTGATTAAACTCGGTGTATCATTGTATAATTGAGTGGTACATAATATA